CTCTAACCCAAAGCACTTCAGAGTGCCCCTCCCCTGACTAGCCCCTCCCCGGTTAGCTTTGATCACTTTGTCACACTGACAACTCATGTTCGTCTTGGTGTCATTGTTGACTCCAGGAGCCCTTTCCGCTGCCATGCTGCTGAGAAGGTCCTCCCCCAGCCTGTAAGATATTATGCAACTGCCTTTAGATACACTATGCAAACAGACAGAAATCAGGACAAAAATGTTTTTTGAAATAAAATAACTTATAGCAGATGTTTGATTTTTTTTAAGTGTATGTTTTTTTCTGGTTTCAAGATGGCAACCCCCCCCTCCAAAAAAAAAAAAAAGGAGAACTAGGGCAAGGGAAGGAACTTCCAGTGGAAAAGGTCAGGGGCCAGGGGTGGACTTCTGGTCCCAAGATGGTGACCAGGGGGCAGGCCACCTGTCAAGGGACAGGCCTTGATGGCTCACCAAAGCTCATTAAGTGGCCCTCCAGCTAACATAATTGCCCAACCCTGGGTCTACACATTCATTAATGTGCCATAGTTACTGTGCATTAAGTTTAGTACTTGCATAGCAAAATACTAAATCAATGCATAGTAACTGGTGCTCAGTAGTGCCAGCACACAGGTTTTTAAAGATCCTAACTGCTCAATAGCCTAATACTACTGTGCAGTAGTGTATTAGCATGAGTTTTGCCTGGCATGCTACTGTGCAATGTTATTAGGCTACTACGCAGTTAGCATCCCCAGTAGGCGCACTCACAAAGTAACAAAATATTTAAGACCATGGGTTTAATCCAGCTACTTAGCACAAATCACCTTTGTGCAAATGGTCCCAGTTCTAACTGATTTTGATGAGACTTCCTCTAGTAGTAAGGACTACTCCTAGAAGCATCTGCAGGATTGAGTTTGGTGCTCATTCTATATAACCTCTGATGAATAGTTAACCTTTTTTTCATCTGCAAGGCAATTTGGAAGAAAATTCACAAGAAAGCAGAACAGAAGTACTTAAATACAGCTTGTTTAATTTAGGGGGAAAAAACCTGCACCAGTGCAGAGGGCCTGTAGGTCCTTGAGAGCCTTAAGGTCCTTTCCCAACTCTATCATTTGATAGTCAGGTAATGGATTCATTAATCATCTACTGATTTATTTACAGCAGAGTGGACCAACCACGGAGGCAGAAAGGGATCTTGGAGTCATTATTGACTCCAAGATGAACATGGGCCGACAATGCGAGGTCATGGTTGGCAAGGCTAACCGGACCTTGTCGTGCATCCACAGGTGCATCTCGA